AAACCGCTGGAGCAAACCGAGAATACAGTGGACAGAAAGAGTCTCCAACAGTTAACTCCCGATACTTAGGAAGTCGGACGGTACAGCTTAACAAGTCAAGAAATCAATGCCATAGGCGGATCCAAAACGGACTCGCGCGGGGGAAGGAGAAGGGACGAGGGGAGGAAGGAGCCAGTTGGGCAGGAAGGGGAGCCCCTCCCCTCGCCTCGGAATAATGCAAAAACTAGGGACAGAGTTGTAACACTGCTACTTAGAGTTGCCTTAGCTTACAATTAGTTTAGGATCTAGTTTACTTCAGTTTTAGCTCTACACGCAGGCTTCCGCAGCACCAATATCTGTGCCGCCATGCTCTCTCCCCTCCCTCGCCAGACCTGCCTATGACCACGGCAATTACTAAAGCTCGCAACTACTAAAACTCGACTCGGCTCGACTCAGCCGGCTCTAACTGTTGACTTGCGACGAATGGAAGTCGAGTCGCGATGATTGGGGAGGGGCGGGTTATGGTAGGGGACGGGGCAGGAGGAACGGGCGAGACCGGCGGTTGGGGGCATGGTTCAAGTCTTCGAGGTGGGAAGGCGGCAGGGGCGGGATCACTGACTACAGATTTGATTGGAGGTAGAAACTGGAAACAGCCGGGGTTTTTGGGAAAGTGGGCTGCCGTTATGTTTTTTTGCACCCAGTATGAAACTTAGTGCTAAGGGGGAGTTAGCAGTCTTGATCGCGACTTCTGGAACTTTGCCCAGACAAAAGAGTCTGGTATCAGAATTTTCGCTACTCGAGCCCGAACCCGCACTTCCGTTCTTTTCAAGAACTTCCTCATTTCGGTTTTTTTTTTTTTTTTTTTTTCAAGCTAAATTGGAAAAGTGTTCCGAAAATCAGTGCTGCTAAGCACCTAAAACACTTACGCCCAGTGCATGACATAATCCTCATCACAAGTATTGCCCATGAAGTAATTGAGAAACGCTATGAGCTTATCGCATGGAACACGAAAATAGGCTTGAAAATCAAGACAATATCAACCCAGGCTGGAACGCACCAGGCGAGCCGGTGCGATTATGCGTTTTTGCACTTCTCGTACCATAGCAAGATCGCAAGGAATCACAGTAGCTAAACCTGTGACATACTGGCCCTCGAAGTTCGGGAAGTTAATTGTGCATCTATGTGGTATGTCAGTTGTAGATGTCGGCTTCAGTGACCCGGCAAATGGAAAGGTGCTGGTCCGCGGCCACATTGGGAAGAGTTAAATTTGAAATCTTTTAGTCGTACATAAATAGGGAACATTCCCCTAAAATTAAAGCCTTCAGCTCGTCTTGTTCCCGAATTGGCAATTTTCCCACCAAAATTTTCACGTGTCCGTATGTGACTACCGGACAGTTTTAAGGAGCTGAATTTAAAATCTTTTGGTCATACATGAGTAGGGAACATTATCCTAAAGTTTCAACCTTCTTCCCGAGTTAGTGATTTTCACGCCAAAATTTCCATGTGCCTGTACGAGGGTCCCGGGTGTTTCTAAACACCTGATTTTGCTCGTACATGAGTAGAGAACATTTCCTTAAAGTTTCAGTCTTCTAGCTTTTCCCGTTCCAGGGTTAGTAATTTTCGCGCCAAAATTTCCACGTGCTCGTATGTGGGCCACGGGCGTTCCTAAACAACTGATTTTGCTCGTACATGAGTAGGAAACATTCCCCCAAAGTTTCAGCTTTCTAGCTTCTCCCGTTCCCGGGTTAGTGATTTTCGCGCCAAAATTTCCACGTGCCCGTACGTGGGTCCCAGGCGTTTTTGATCGCCTGATTTTGGTCGTACATGTGTAAGAAACATTTCCCTAAAGTTTCAGTTTTCTAGCTTTTCGCGTTCCCGAGTTGGCAATTTTCGCGCTGAAAATTTTCACGTGCCCGTACGTGAGCGCCGGGCTGTCCTAAGGGCTGAGTTTGGAAACTTTTGGCCGCACATGAGTAGGGAACATTCTCCCAAAGTATCAATTTTCTAGCTTTTCGCATTCCCGAGTTATGAAATCTCCCGCCATAATTTTCACGTGCCCGTACGTGAGCCCCGGGCAATCCTGGGCAGCTGAATTTGAAATCTTTTTGTCATACACAGGTAGGGAACATTCCCCCAAGGTTTCAGCTTTCTAGCTTTTCTCGTTCCTGAGTTATCAATTTTCGCGCCAAAACTTTCACGTGCTCGTACGCGGGGCCCAGATGTGCATGAGAGTTGATACTGGGGTCCTGGGGTGGTACTTGGCTGGGGAACACACTGGCAAAATTTC